TCAGCAGGAGTTCCTAAGAGAAAACAAACTTCTAAACATCCATGGTTGAACTGTTGCAAATGTATTAAATATTTCAGGAAAATACATATTGTCTGCCTTTTTATTTTCTGTTTACAAAACAATGTCATTACTACATTGCTTTAAATCAATAATGTGTATTTGCACATCAGTCAGACAAAAATACTGTGCTAATCTTTTATGTAAGACAGCAGCTAGCGAGAGAGTCTGCTCTCTAGTTCAGAAATATATCCTGCATCAGAAATATATCCTTCCATAACAAAATCTGTCCCACAGACTTAGATTTCAGAAGATTTCCTAGGGAGATGACTAGTGAGTCATAAATTACACTTCTCCTTTGCCACATATCAACTCGAAAAATTCTTCTGAATATGATGTGCAAAGTCTAAGCTAGTATTTCTCTTAATTTTCTTTTAAATTAAACAAAATAACTACCTTGCATTTTATAGTTTCATAGCAACCTTTGAATCTTTTTTTAACTTGCAGTCCTGCATACTGTAAACTATTCAGATTGAGAACAACACCTTTTAACAATTTTCATTTAATTTCTCTTTAAAAATGGGGATTAAGAACTTGGAGCTGATCAAGAGGTGACAGACATAGAGAATAGCTCCCAGAGTGTGCGTGTCTTCATGCCTGTCTCGATTAGCACATGCAGAGCTAATGGAACCATGGAGCTGACTCCAGGTGAACAACCCCAGCACCTCAGGAGCCTGGGCTCACTCAACACCACTCTAACACAACTTCACAGCTTCTGGAACAAGGCTCAGGAGGGTATCATGCTTGTCTGGAGCTGATGTTATGACCACAGGGGTCTCAAAAGAATATATTGGCCAGTTTGGGGGTAACAGCTCTTCACAACTTAATTCCATTTTAGCCCTTATTTTACATTCCATTATACCTCTTATTTTGTCCTTCGGTTGTCTTTAACATCAGACATACTTCTGTCTTCTCTTCCATTATCCCCTCATCTCTTCTGGTTTTCCTGTTTCCTACACTCATAATATTGCTTTTATTATCAACAGAGATCTTTACTTACCGTAGTGTTCTTTAATTTCTTCTCATGTGCTATTGAAACCACTTGGTCTATACCTCTCAAATATTTATTTTTATTTTAGCTAATTCTGAATGCAGCTGTTACACTCCATTGCTATTATTATTGTCTAAGATTGTTTTAAATGGTTTAAGAGATTGACTTTCATGATTTTAAGTTGTTGGCTGTTGTTTAGGTCTCATGTTGATTTGAATTCCTTTAAACCCATCAACTTTTTTTTTCAAAATATTTATCCAGAAGTTCCCTGCCAAACATTGCCACCATCAGCATCTTTGGTGATACTTAACCAGCTGCCTTCTGTTAACTCTCTGTTGGCTTGTCCATGCAATCTGTCTGTCCTACAGGTACTTCATAGATCTTTGATTTACCCTTCACTATTTCTGAGAGTAACCATTTCCTAAAGTTTCTTTTTAAAGAGAAAAATGGAATGATGTAAAATTGAATTTTAAGATAAAGGTAGAAAACACTTTGACAGAGGTTGTCAAAGAAAATGGAGAAATCTATTGATTTCTAAATTACTTCTCTATGTTAATATTGTCTTTAAATTAAAGAAAAAATAATAGTTCGTACTTCAGATTGTAGCCTGAACTCAGCACTTGCACAATGCACTGGAATTTCAAAGCTTGCCTCACAGCAGGGAGTTGGAGCCACTGACCTTGGAAATTACCTAAGTTCTTACCACTGTATATTAATCTAAGACTTGACAAAAATTGTTTTTATCCTTATTGAAAATACCATCTTTACAAAAGGACTTTTTAGATCAGAAGTGGATGTGGTATATTTCTGTCCAGTGTGCATTGAGTGTAGAATTGTTGTCCTTAAATTACATTGATGGGAGATGGCTTGTAAAGAGTTGTAAATGAAATATATTTCTTATTAATTCATTTTAAAAACACAAGACTGTCTCTGAAGATTATTACGTTGAAATTGCCAGTCAATAATTCGGTCTATTCATCCCATTTATTTAAGTGTACTTAATGCTTCTCTCATTTTTCTGAGGCTCTGATTTTTGTTTGGGTTTTCTAGCCTGTGATCACTGTCAGCTCCACTAGATGGACCTCATGAGATGTTAATTTTTTTTTACTGGTCTAATTTAATTTGATCTGTAGATGAAACAGTATTTTCCTCTTAACTGCACAAGGTTTTTAAAAGTATACTGCAAGGCCCAAGTTGTTTTCTTACAGTGAGTGCATATTGCAAAAAAAATATACAGCTGATGATATTTTCAGAGAGGACTCGTGATAAAATAGAAGTATGAAATACTTACATTATGAGTAAAGGGAGATATTATTTTTTTTTCTTAGTTTGTGGCTGGGAAACCCCAGGAGTGATTATGAAGTGATAGGAATTGTTCCAGACTGTTTCTCTTTTCTGTTGGAAAGGAGCAGCACAAGAAGAGCCTCCCTGAGCTCAGCCTGCCTCCAGTGGGTGCTGTGCTAAGTTCCAGCTGTAACCCAGCACAGTACATGGCCCAGTAATGCATGTGGTCTCCTCACAACCTGAGAGACTGGCCCCCAGGGAGCTGACAGGAGGCGGCTGATGGTGATCACGTGTGGCCCTGAAGTAGTCCCAACTTTCTGTCTCTCAGCAGACAGGAGCAGAAGAAAGGCTGGGATGCTTGGGGGGGAGGCACATCATTTTAATGTGTTTCATATCACATTTTTCTTACTAGTGAAAGTATGCATTGCTGCTAAACAGGAGCGCTACTTTCCTGGATTTTTGGCTAAGTTTGTATTAAACAGGGGGTCATCTACTGTTCTCAAATGAAAAATGGTTCTTCTGCTGATCTCTCCTCTCTGTTTACCCTTTTGGTATATTATACCTCCACTACCATTATGTTGTTATCTAGACTTAATAGTATGTTATTATTTAAGTTATTGATAAATATAATAAATTGCGTTAATAGGCTAGTTATAATGTTACATATTTCTGTGAAAAGCCAGCAAGTTATGAAGTTGCAATAAATAGAAAAAAAAAAATCTTTGGAACAAGTAGTTGAGTAATTCAAGTCTTCAACTGAGAGTCATTTAAGTCAAGCATTTAAAAGCTGTACAAAATCACAGCTAGCTACAGCAAGCCCGGGAAGCTCCGCTGGTCCTGGTCACCACACCTCCCATGGTTCTTCAGTTTCTCCTAGCAGTGCCCTTCCTGGCACACGTTTTAAGTGTTACACTGTATGTTCTTACCCTCCATCCTTAAATGTTAGTTTGTCCAAGCCTAGAGCTGTGTTCATGTTAGTTCATCCCACACTGAGCAGCAGAAGAGAACTGAAAGGTAGTCCGTCCACGCCCTGTTTGCCTTGATTCTATTCACCATCCTACAGCAATTTAGTAGCAGTCTGTACAATTTTGCATACTGTGTTTTCTTTCTTTTCACATTTCATGGAGGTCATCTCAATGCAGCTACAGGATGGAGAGTGCCATTTTTAAGTTTTTAACATTAAATGACTTCCTAAAAGGACAGTGGTTAAGAGTCTTGCTGAGAAATTTGTCATGTGAGTGTATATGCCATTTTGTTGCTCTCTCATCAAACGTGCTTTGCAACTATTGCTGTATCTTTTTTTTTCCTAAGATTTTTTTCCTTTTAGTAGTATTTTGAGTAGTTCTCAGATGCTTCTAGATACCAAGCATTATTAGAATATCTGGATTTACATTTTCTCAACATTTGTTATTAACGTTTGGTAACCTGTTTCTTCTTACTGTCAAGAAAGCATTAAAATACTTTGTTTCCTAAATGTCAAAGAACCTTGTTACATTTTTATCTACGGTTGTCAAATTTAGTAATTTTGAATGAGAGTAGCAGTGAACTTAATGTCATTTAGAGGACCAAAACCACAGCTCGTGTAGAACGACAGTCATGTTACACTGGTTAGGATCTGGTCCAAAGCATTGATATTTCAGAAGATGGAAAACCTTAGTTAAGGTCATCCTTTTGAAGACTCTGTCGATAAAGAACTGATATGATCTGGTGCAATCTCTTCCCTTCTCAACTGTCCCTGGGGAAAAAAAGAGCTTTAGGAAACACATTCATTTCCTTCAATAAGTAGTCATTTAATTAAAGAACAAAAGTAACAGGAATCAAAAATGCTTGCAGCTGTGATTCTGTTAGACATTATATAAAAAAGAATGAAATTATAATACATTAAATTAGTTTTTAGAACATGAACTTAAGTGTTTTACAAACTAATCTTGTTAAGTTCAAAATGTCTTGTCAACATAATACTGAATGACAGTGTGTCAGGTCCATTTATGTCATAGGCCTTGGAATGGTAAAGCCTGTACATGCACATCTCCTCTTCCAAGATCAACTGCAAAACAGTTTAAAACAAGTGTTCAAGGAGAGCAGTAGCTTTACTCCAGTCTTTCAGCAGGTTGTCCCACCCCACAGGCCATCGCTCGTCTGACTTCAGAGCGGAGCACGTCTCCGGTGGTTCTTCTATGCGTGAGTGCTGCAGAGAGGCTCCATCTGCAGAGTCCTTCCTTCACTTAAACATCAAGGTATCCTGGACTGAACTTGAGGGAAAGGCTTACATTCCCTGATGTGTGTTCAGCAGCATTATTAAAAAGTAAAGACATTCTTCTCAGAAGAAAATTTCTATGGCCTGTGAAATCTAGGAGAAATAAGAGACATTTTTAAACCACTTGGAAAAATTCTATATGTATTTTATTTCAAAAACACTGTTAGATTAACAAAAAATTGTTTAAAAAAAAAAAAGCAAACACAGCAATATTCATTCTGTTGAAATACAGTTAGAGTGTTGAAGAATATTAGTGACTTGTAAGTTCATATCCACAAGCACGCTTCCACAGATGCTGTGAGTGCAGTGCAGTTACAGGCCTCAGGGCCCAGTCTCACCAGTTCACAGGTACTTGGGAGTGCAAGTGCAAATACAGCTGTGGGGTTGAGTTTTTTTTTTCTTTTAGGAATTAAGCTCCAGTTTGTCACTGGTAGAAATATTCATTATTGTGCAGTGACCTTATTATTTTGTAAGAATCAAACAATGTTGAGCTGAGGCTTTGGAAAAGATGAAGCCGTGCTGTTGGTTTAGTGTGTGATGGTCATAAGAGTCCGCCTGGAACAAATGTACTCCTGCTCTGTAGGCCTGTTCTTGTGTCTGAGATATGTGATTAAAGTCCCAATTGTTTGCAGTGCCTTAGCACTAATTGTAAATTGTAAGCCTGTTTACTCCTAATATCCTGAACAAATTTCAAAATTTGTCATTCTAATCTACTTAAACTCCCTAGGTAGCTTCAGTTAGAGAAGGTTTATCTCATTTTCAGCCTTAAACTGCAGCCATCCCTTTTCCCCCCCTGTGTGTCATTCTTATCAATGCAGTGATGTCTTACCAGAAACATTGTTAAAAGGGCCCTGACAATTACATGAATAGTCTAGAAGTATATAAATATAGCATTTAGATCCCTGTGCATTGCATTTACAGCTCAAGTGTGTTTGCCTAGACCATCTTTTCGTGGAACAGGCAAAGCTCAGTTCAGCTGGAATTCATTCAGAGTTCAACAATAAGCCTGGCTGTTGAAGTGAGCCTTCAGGAGGTGAGACTGCACACCCAGTTCCTAAACTTATTTTAGCAGCAAGCACACCTGAGAGCACTTGGAGTCAAGGCAGGAGTACACTGTGCTCCCAGCGATTCCAAAAATGGTGTGTTAAGAGCAATTGGGCCTGCTCAAGAGACCTACTAGAAATGGTAGGAAATAACTGATTGCTGTTTCAGTTGTGCTCTTATCCAGGTATTTTTGCAAGTAACATAGGCTGTGGTGTCAGCCCCGCTCACTGTTTTTTCCCACTTAGAGAAGGGAGATGAATGTTTTCATGCAGTTTAACCAGCGTGCCTGCCATCAGTGCTGCCACGTGAAGCAGGCACTAAACTGCCCGGAGAGTGACAAGAGCCCAGACTGGCTCTCTCTCCTGACCTCTCCACTACTCTGGCATTGTGTCCTTGGGGGGCTGTGCTCCTTCCAATAGTATCTGGGCCGACCTTTAAGGGGTGCAGAAATCTACCAGGCTGAATCCCTTGGAACAAATCCAGTTAGGACACGTGCATCACCTACGGGCGCCATGAGTCTCTTGTTCCCGTGTGGAGAACTTCCTGTTTCTCAGCAGGGAAGCTGCAATGTTTGTGATGATGAGGTTTGAGGTTGCATACTCAAAGACATTTAATTCAAAAACCTTTATATAGTGTACTAAGTTGTTCATCTACTTAAATAATTTTTTTTTTCCTATGTTACACCCTATGCTTAGTTCTTTGTCATAGTGCAAGGAATGGAAGCTGAGTGATGTTCTGGAGAAGCTCAGGGGGCTTCTCAGTATATGCTAATCAAAGAAAGAAAAACCAGAAAAGACAGGCTTGGAAAAAGAACAGAAATACGTCCATTTTCTTTTTTAAAAAAGCCCTTATGTTGCATATTGTTCTCCTACATCCAGCATGTAGGGGGAATTTTAGCTGCATCACAAGATGGCGTCCTGGAAGCCCTTATGCGCAGCTCAGGCTACAAGGAAGATGATGAAATACCGGAGGTGAACCTTAAGGGCATTGAGCCCTTGCGGCTCTAGGCAGGAAGGACATGGGGGACAGCTCGGCAGCGCCTGCGTAGATCAAAGCTTGGCCGGAACTTGCAAGCAGGAGACCACCCTGTCAGCGCCTTGGCGCGTGGACAGAGACATTTAACCTATCAGGATACAGGGATAGAGCGTGGCTATGCAGTGTTAACCAATACGAAAGTATAAACTATGTGTGATCAGTCACCGAGTGTATAAATACAGCTGCCTGTGTAGATTAAAGTGGAACACTGACGAACCTTCTGTGAAGTGTGTTGTGATTCTGGGGCTCCTTGCGCAACACCAGCATGTAAGAGAAAATCTACAGATTCCAGACTCGAGCAGACTGGTTTTAGCAGGCAATGGAACTAAACAGCTGGAAAACTGACCTTGTCAAATGTTTGCTTGACGCATGTACCTCCATCTCATTGCTTTTGTATTCATTTAGCTCTTTCCGAATTGCTGCCTAGGAATAGAAAATAGAGGAAAAACAATTTTGTTGTTTATAAGCATTGTAAAATACCAGACATGCAGAGCAGAACAGGTTCTAAAGATGAAATCCCAGGTACTAGATAGAGCAAAGTGTGCCAACTGCCAGTAGAGATGCTGAATATTATATAGATTTTATAATAATTAGATTATATAATAATATTATAGGTTATATAGACTGGTGATATGATACTTCTTACCATTCATTACTGATTGCTCACAGGGTCACTTCTGTCTAGAAGCGATTCTGACAGCAGAACAAAACCACAGTACTTATTGTCTCACATTTCGTAAGATTCCAGTTACAATTTATTAAAGATTAAGAGAAGTTGCCAAGAAATTGATCAGCTGGTCAGTTGACTTTGGTGGAATTTCAATGTGTGTTATTTTTTTAATAAAACCCAGACTGTTACATTATCACAGCTTGCAAATAGCAGTCCAGGCTGTGTTATCACCTGTGTCCATAGGACTGCACAGTCCTAAGAGAAGAAAAATGTTCTCTTTTGATGCTTAATATAATGAAATTCAAGGCTATAAAAGTGAGACCATTCTTCTGTTTAAATGGCAACTGTGAGTGAACTGGAACATACTGGTTCTTTCATAGATTCTTAGGTATTTGGTACTTGGTAGTTTAGCTACCTAAAATGATGAAGCTTGTACCCATGTTTATGTTTTAGGTCAGAAATTTGGCTTATTAAAAGAAAAGTGAGGAAAAATAATGTATTTGTCTGCTCTGAAAGAGAAGTTTTTTTCGGTCACAAATGCAGTGGTCAAACTCCTGACCCTGAATTCCTCATATGCCACCAGTATATACACTTGAACTCTGTAACTTTCTTTTTAGCTTATAAACCTTCCTAGTTAACAATGTAAAACCAGTAAAATTAGGAAAAGCCCAATTTTAATACGTACCAAGTACATAACAAGGAAAACACAAAAGCCTCATTCCTTTGATTAATACATAATAGTTCATTCAACATTTTGGTAACCTGAGCAGAACAGCTACTGCGGTAGAAATAACATTATTCCTTTTCTGTATGAGACCTCTAAAATAACTTGTTATGCTTTTCACTGGGGAGACACTGGAATGGGGAATGAAGCATTTCATCTCCACATCTCAGAAGAATGCAGTAAGTAACGATCCTGTATTTGCCGTTCTACCCAGTAACTATCTCAGGTTCCCTGCTCGTTCTACTCGCTACAGCTCCGAATCTCCAAAACTTCCTCACAACTGTTCCCTGGAATTATGCTGAACTATTTTTCTTACTACTCAAGCACCTAAATGTGAAAGTTAAGTGAGGATGTGAAACAGCTGTGTGGCAGGTATGTGGTGGAACAAAAGTGAGTGTTTGTGCTCCTGAAAATGTGGGATCAAGTGACTCCTTGAGCACTCACAGGAAACAGGAAAGACATACTTGCATGTTTAGAAACATAGAAGGATATCTGTGTATCTGAGAGAAAAATTACAGTCTGAGGATAAATGCTAATGCTACATTGGCTGGAAATGTTTTCGAGTCACAAGCTTATAGCATTAAGAAAGATTGTATCCAACTTTTCTTTTTTTTCCCCCAGTTGATAGGCTGGGTAAAAGCCTTTATAGTATCAAACAGGCATTTTTATAAATAGCATTTTTTATGACCATGTGCATTCAGTGTGGTTTCAGCATAAAAAATAATGGTAGCATTTACAGAGATTAAATGTCCCAGAGGCTAGATGTCTTTGCAGAATCTGATGCATGGTTAAAGACACAGCAAGTAGAAAGCAGTAATATGTCATTTTAATTGTGCCAGTACCTTGTCTGCTGCTGAGAGTCTTGTCCACGGTTTGTCTGCTCGCCTGTCGTAGTCCTGTGCTTTTGCCACTTCCACATAATCACTGAATCGGATCAGGATTTTTCTGTCTCTTAGTTCATCAACTGTAGGTCTCTGGTTAAGCTGTATTAAATAGTTTTGTAAAATACAACCAGTATTAATAATAAAGAGATCCATATAATGTGCAGCGCTTTATGCTTCCCATCTTGGCTCAGTGTACGTTTATGTCTATGGGAGAAAGCCCCAGCCCCTGGAAATTCCAGGACAATACTCATTCAGGGACACTCAGAGGATTGTTTGGAGAGCAGTCATGGTTTAAATGGAGTTGTGGGCTACAGCACAGTGGCTTTATAATGGCCAAAAGGGGAAGATATTTTAACTTGGATATTGATAAAAGGCGTTTCCAATATGTGAAGGAGTCAGAATTCATTTATTACGATCTATGTATAGTATCATATGTTGTCAGGGTTTTCTAGCACAGTCAGCAGCAGATTGTCTGTGTAAGGGTTTCAGGGCTGTAAGAATTTCAGTTTGGCTTGTAATGGGTTATCAACTTGTTAAAGTATATTTGGCTTATAATTCCAGTAGGGATTCCTGGGATCAGAACAATAACAAAATCTAGTTCTGATTCTGAGCATAGCTTAAACACAAGGAGAAATTTGCTGTGGGATCACACCTGGTGCTCAGCAGGGAGTCCTACAAAGAATGAAGTAGGTCCTTTCCTACCAATAGAGTTACAAAATACATAGTGTGCAAGCAAATATCCATTTTAAAGTTTATATGTAAATATTCGATTAAGTCTCAGGTAGCCGAGATAAAGTAGATTTTTTTTTCATATTACTAGGCACTGCAGATGAGGATGTATAGTAAGGGAGGGTTTGTGTAATCATGGCTTCTATGACCGGTTGCTGTTATATTAGCTTTGCTAAATTTTTAAAATCTAATAGAAGGTAGTGCAAGATCTTACCTTTCTTGTCAGTCTCTGTTTGATTTCCCTTCTTTCTTCTTGTTCTGTTTGATCATTTCGTTCTGTGGAGAATATAAAAAAAAAAAGATGACTTTCTGCACGAGGAGGATTGGTATATTCCAAAGTGTTAGGCAATAAAAATTAGAGCACAGAAAAATTAGTAGCGGTTCTCAGTTGTATGTTTTGTTTGTTAGGTCAGCAAATCTCTCTGGCTCTCCAGTAGAACACAGTTACCTCTCTGTAAGGACAACGTGCTGGTGCCAATGTCAGCTCTTCTTGTGCTCTGAATTCCAGGACTTGATAAAACTGCAGCTATACCAACTTTCCAATGTATAAACTTTAGAGGCAAAATCAAAATATTCCATAAGTAATCATAATTTTGTTTTTTACTCTCCTTACTGCTGGAGCTATTCATTGTTAGATGCTGAGAAGACTTACTGCAGCAGCTCCAGGGGAAGTATGTTCTTCCCTGTATAACGTTATTCTCAGGCTACACCTTTAGCGGGTCACATTGCCACAGTAGTTATCTTTGGCTTGCATGCTTTTATTCTCTGCTATTCAGGATGTACCACTGACATTAGAACCTCTTTATCCACATGGGTTTTCTTTTGTAGCATTCCAGTCTAACCTGAGCCAACTTGCTTTTGTGTGTTGTGCCTATTAACATTCAAGCCGTGATAACTCCTACACAGTGGGTCTAAAAATAGAGCAGAGTGCTGTGAGGCTGTGTGAAATATATCCCTTGCCTTGGGAAGCCAGTTAATGGCGTTTCTATTTCTAGTACTATCTGCTGCTAAATTAAGCCATGAGCCTATGACCTGAGCGAAGCTGAAGACCTAGAGAAAAATGTTTAACCATTCTGGGATCCTCCAGATACTACTGTGGAATTTATTATACCACTTGCATTAAGTATTTCCAGTGTTAAAGCGTATGTGTGAATTTTAATATGCCTTAAAAAAATACTAGCACTGCAGAGGAGTTTCCAAAATGATATTTTTAGTAATGAGGTATTCTTCTCCCTTATTTTTACACTCACTAGGTTACAACTCATTAGGTTGAAATGTAATCATATCTATTTAAAATAACATCGTAGTGCATAGCTACAACTGGCTACAGTAGAAACGTAAATCAAATTAATCTAAAATGCTGTCATGTGTTATATTACAATTTGGTGGCAAGCCACACGAATTTAAAAGAGAATAGGCCAGCTAAAATTAGTGCTGTGTCAGGGATGAGCAGCTATTTAAGCCTGGAATGTTTAAAAAGAGAACAGGCTTTAAAAAGCAGGGTGTGTTCTAAGATGTAGAGATAGCTACAAGAGGTTACTAACATGCATCATTCAGTTTTAGCTCACCCCTTTCAGAATAGATAGTCTTACCTCTATATTTTTATTAAGATAGTTTTCCATGGTGTAGTGCCTTTTTAAGATCTGACTGTGATATGCACTGAGAGAATTCCTAAAGAAAAACTACAGATACTCACTTCTGATGAAAAAATGCTTTTCCAAATATAATAGGCATGTATCGTGACACGTTTCTGTGAAACAATCACCCAGGGTCAGTGCTTATTCCCAGCTCGAAGAAATAAAATAAATAGTTATTTTAGAAAAAGGAAACCAAGATGTGATAGGAAGTGCTAGCAAGGGCATCATAAAACTCAGGCACTATTACAGAGAGAAACCAGGGAGGTTTTTCTCGTCACCATCACCCTGCCTACGCTGAGATCCATTCACTACTGAGGGCTGGCTTTATAAATCTCGTGGAGACACTCCCAGTTGTGAGGCGTGTGTGCAGCACCAACACATTTTGCTGCTCTGTGGGTTACCCAGGGAACTCCTGGCTGTGTGTGTCAATAAACCAATTCCTGGTGCTCAGAATGAGACAGGGGTTGCACAGTGTGGTTTAAGGGACACTCTCTTCTTGAATGGGAACCTCAGTTTGCTGTGGAATACCAGAAGAACACACAGGAGCACCTTGGTTGTGATTTTAATGCATGTGCTTTTTGTACTTCGTGGTAAACCAGCAGTGTTTCTGTAGTTGAAGGACTTAGAAGATCAACAACATTGTATGCAAGTGTTGGCTTTAAGTTTGCTTTTTAAGTATTACTTTTATCTCAGAAACGTCTCCCTAAGGGAAGTGAGAAGTCTTTTTTTTAAATTACCGAGATTTGTTTTTAAATGATATAGTAGTTGCACTTAGGCACTTGCAATATGCTTCTCATTTTGACAGAGTTGTACAAATGTGGATTATTAGTTTTTGAAACAGCTTTGTAGGCAGCATTGCTTCCATTAGCAGTGTGGATTATGAACATCAAAGAGGTTAGGAAACTCAGGATGCAGCTGTGCAAACCCTTACAGCCTGGAGGAGGTTGTAGTGATTTCACTGAAAGGAATTTATAGTGCCACAGCTTTGCACATCCCACCCAGTCCAGGTGGTTTTAAAGTCCCTAAGAATGTCAACCTCCCTATCACTAAAGGAGACTTTGCTAATTTCCAGATTCACTCAAAACTGAGACTAGAATTGCTGTGCCTGTCCAGCCGTTCCAGATGGTAACTGGCACAGCTCAGTGATCACTGGAGCTCTTTACCAGACACTACCTAGCTTCTCATATAATGGAAGAGGTAAATAAAATAGAAGTGGTTCTGATCTCAGCTGAACCTCTATAGAGCCTGAGCAACTGAACTGAAGTCAATAAATTTGGTCCATGCTGGGAGCTCTTTAAATGAGATACAAATCTAGAGCAGTGTGCTTAGCTGGCATTCAGGAAATATCTTTAATTCTGCTTTATCTTCTTTCTGCTTTATCTCTCTCTAAACTCATTATATGAATGTATTCAAACTTTTTGATTATTAAAGCTGGTCAGTTTAACCCAGATTAAGGATGTAACCAGCACACTCCAAAAAGTAAACAAAAAGGAACATATTTTTTTTTTAGTAGAGGTCAGCTCTTCCTTAGCCAGAAAAACAAAACAAAACAAAACAGATTTTTTGAGATCTTAGGTACTGATTCTTGAAAATCTGGCCCTGTGTATTTCAGTAGCTTGGGTTCCTGCTTTTTCTTGTCTCCTGTGGTAGATGACAGGTGAAGTTGGCCCAAGTTCACCCATGCACATTTGCAAAGAACGTATCCTTTCTTTCATTAACTATGAATGTGTTAGACACATCTAATACTAGCATGGGCAGTGAATGCATTGGAACAGTACTGAAAATACTGCTAAATTGACTGTGGAATTCCTTTCTGTTAAAACTGAAATAAAATCCCAAATAATTTCAAGGCAAGAGCATGAGTTTTTTTCTGTGAACTACTAAGAAAGTTCTGAGACATCAAATTTTGGGTAACAAAATGTAGATAACTATTTTCCTAGGGAATTGCAATCACATTAATAACTAAATATGAATTAAATAGCATAGTCAGCATTGCTTGTGTGACAAAAGCTTATGTGGTTTTATGTTTTATGCTTGCTTAATGAGAAACAAACTACTGTTCACATAATTCTGATTTTTCTCTTTCAGCACTAAATAGTCCATGAAAATAATAGAAGTTATACACTTTCCCTTCAAGCAGATGGTCACACCCATTCTCCTGTTGAGACCCACAGAGGAGACAGTTTCAAAGTTCTCTCTCTCCTTCCCCAAACTCAGAGGATTCCCAGCACTTGTAAGGACAGGGATTACATTCATCACTTGTTTCATCCCCAGGTCAGGACATCAAACTTCAGCCAAAGTGTTGCAAGTTTAACCCTTGTGTTTATTTGAGAGATGTTGAGAGCATTCCCCAGTGGCAGCATCTACAACAGTCCTGGAACTGTCCTTCTAATAACTCTTAATATGGCAGAATGATCTTTGACTTGGCTTTAGGAAGGTCTCTAATGATATGAACAAATGTGCTTGCTAGGAGAGTCACACCTTGCAAGGATGCTTCCTCCATTCCACTTCAGCCTTGGAGGTATTCAGTGTGTGGTTTGCCATGACAGTCCCAGTGTCACTGCAGTGTGTGACACTGGGATTGTATTCCCCTCCTAGACATCCCAACAGTGTAATCACAATGAAAATTATTTGAAAGCCTAAATCTGAACGAGTCATTCTTTTCTGTACTGAACTGCAAGCCTTTATCAGTGTGTGTATTCTGATTCCTGCAGCTTTTGAAACACAGGATGTGAAAATTTAAAAGTTTTAGGTACATAAAATTATCCCAGTAAAATAATTAGTCTAATTAAAAATAATGTGGTCTAGAAATGCCTTTGCTGGTTTCAACAAACATATAAAAGACTTTAGGAAAAAATACTCACGTTTAAGTATATTTCTTCTTTCTAGCTCCTCAACAGCAGGTCTTTGGCTGAGTCGCCTGCGGAAAAACACCAAAATCACATTTTGTACCATGCCTGTTCTTTGAAAAAGTCTGCAGTGTTCTGAGTTCTGGTTGGTGTTTTCCCTGGGGAGAGGACTACAAAATCCCTCTCCAGAAGTCAGGAAAAAAAAACGAGGAAGAAAAAAAAAAGAATCCTGGCACAAAAATGCTTTCTTATATTCTTTTTGCCAAATGTCAGGAATGCAGGTAGAAGTTCTCTAGTTTGCTCTGCTGTCAGTGAACATGCATCCTTTTCACCATACTTTCCAGGCAGTCAGTTGGAATCAGTGCTCTCCAGCGGTTAAATTCACTCTTGAGAAGGTATTTAAGGTGCTATCAAATGAGTTTCACAGTGATCTTCTGTAGCTATCACTGCCTCTCTCTCTTTTAATCTCGTGTAGCAGCAGGCTTCCTTTTCTCTAGTAACACCAGTGGTGCATCCTGACAAAATGCAGACTTGCCAGAAATAAAGCTTGCCCGTGGTTTCCTGACTACACATCTACCAGACTGATCCAGCAGCTCTCCTCCTGCCTGCTGAATAAAATTCGTGTGCTGCTCACAGCCTCACGCTGTCTGAGCGGAGTGTCTTACGCAGTCTCACCTCCCCTTTTCAGTAGTGCTGCCTCAGGATTGAGTCTTCAAATCATATGAGCAGTGCCATAGCGATTTTATCCTGCATACTAAATGAGACTTCCCCACGAGACACTGCTAATATCTGCAGAGAATCTCAGGTAATTGAAGCCCTCCCCGAGGCAGACACGCACTCAGGCTGCATTTGCTGGCTTTCAAGTAATAATCCAGTGAGCAGATTGGAAAGAGTTTACGATGCTTTCTGGCCTGCGTGCTGGCAACCTTACGGATTCTCATCATCTCCGCTCTAGCAGATGTTGCCAAGCCAGAGATGAAGTTACAGAGACAAAGAAACAGAGCAGGGACCGCACTGCAAACCCACGCTGCTACAGTAGTTATCCCTCTACTGTGTAGAGGAAATAAAGAAATTATTATCAAGTGATGCTATAACAAGATCTACATTTTATCGAATATACAAGAGATGAAAAATGAAGTAACTGTTGACAGTTAATAACTGGTAAAAGTGCCTGATTCCAATTTCTCCTTGCTTTGTAAACCTTACCAAATATACCTTCAAAAATCTACTCTGTATTCATACGTTATCATACCAACAGCCCAAAATATGAATGCAACTCTTTATCCTTTTTTAAGCCCACTCCCCTCAGATCACTGTGAAAGTGCTCATCTTGGGCAGCAGGAAAGCATCACAACTACTGCACTAGATTCATACCAACAGGAAACTTAGATGCTGAGCTCCTGTGCTTTTAAACACCTACATCCTAACTCTCATTCATCCTACCCAAGATTTTCTATCACTTAAGGTTTTATCTTGGTATCTGCATTTCTCTTTGGAGCAATGAGTCGGATACTCCAGCAGTGGAAGCTGCAATAATCCAAAGTGAAACAGGAACGTTGCTGAAATGCCCTGCAAAGACTTTAAACGTGTATTTTCAATTCCTGTTACCCTTGGACTCCTCCCTCCTCCCTCATTTCCCTGCATGTCTCAGAAATGATACAAGCCTGGCTTGGTTTTGTTTGAAAGAGATTAATGTGCATTTTATAAATCAGGGAAGAATGACTTACTGGGAGAGCTTATCTGCAAATGAAAGGTCCACCCAACCTGCTGCTCACATGCCTCTCTCTGAAGCCACTCTTAATTGCAGCCCTTCCACGTGAGATTTATAGATTCTCCCAGAAACTGTACATTTGATTTCAGAGACCCCTTTTAAACTGGAGGATTAAAAGCCTAACAGAAATTATTAAAGCAGGATAAGGATGTATATGTGTATGAATGCACGAATGCTCTGTATATTTTTTATAATACAGTTATAATATGTATGATGGTTAATTATTTAACACCTTGTTTGCCTTTTGGCTTTGATAAATACATGGTGGGTGCCCAAAGACAATAACATATTTCTGTGCACACCCTCAGCTGTGCCCACAACAGAAGGAAAAGGTGAAGATATACACAGATATATTTATGCATGAAGAGGGCACTGCTTTGTTTTCCTGAGTTTTTCAGAGACATCGACCACACTTTCAAGCTTTTTGTCAAAATTGCAAGACTAGATGTGGACTTTTCTTCAGAGTAAAATTCTAACATGATTTCAGGAAGCTGGGGATAGAGTGAAAATACCAAATACAGTGAGAGTCATGATCAAACGAGTTAGCAATACTACTGACAGTGTCACTAACAAGGTGCAGGGACATATTGTGTCAGTGATTTTATCTGTTCAGGAGAAGCTTCTCTCTGCCCAGAAGCCCCTTTCATTAGCTGTCTCCACGGTGAGAGCTGTGCAGCGTGGGGCTGGGCTCCGGGCGAAGGGGAGCGGCGCGGGTCGGTGAAGGTGAAGGACTCCAGATGCCTCCACCAAGGGCTGCTGACGGTAACGCGGGGAGGCAGCTGCCAGCTCGGCCCAGCCGGGTGGGCGAGGGCCAAGGGGCCACATCTTTGCTGGGATCAGGACAGGAGAGGTCTTTTCTGCAGGAGGGTCTCCTCTGTGCCCGGAGAGGAGCGTGCCTGCCCGCCGAGCACGCTGCCTCGTCCCACCATCCTCACAGCAAGAAACCAGTTGCTGCTGCAGGTATCTACTGCGTGAGCAGAGCCTGCTCTGCCTGAGCTGCTCGGCTGCTTTGCGAGGATGGAGGAGGGGGCTCCATCTCCCCCCAACCCGGGGGTCTAAGCAGCCCCAGCCACACTTGGTTTCCTCTGAAGGGAACTCACATTTCTCTGTGATGCCACACAACTTCCCTCACACCCTCCTGCAGCTGGGCTCAGGGCGAGAGAAGGACAAACACATTTCTGAGAGCTCCTGTCAGTCCAGGGGCTCAGCGTAGAGCAGAAGCTACAGGTTACCCCTGGCAAAATATCAGCATCCCTTTTGATGGGAGCTTTTAAGTAAGAAACTGTTTCAGATGAGTTTGTGCCTCTGCTTGGGAGAGTTGTTCTCTGGGCACCACAGGGCTCTGTGTGGTATCCTGAGCAACAAGTGCTCAGCTTTGGGTATTTATTCCATATTTTTCTCTGAAGCTGTTAAAATATGAAACCCTGCCTCTGACAGAGCCAGAGCACACCCCTTGTGCATCAAGCTCAGGGTGTTTCCCCTGAAGACGGCCATCTGTCCCTGGGCAGCACCACGGCCTCAGAAACACCACCATGCCTCAGGCCTCAGGGGAAAGGTGGCCAGCCCGCCTCACAACGCTGCTGGGGAGCACGCCGCGGGAATAAGGCTCTGGAGAGGCCATCTTCAGAGCTTCTGTGTTTAAAGGAAACAAACTCCAGCTGAGCATCAATTACCAGCAGGCTGCATGGCAACATGGGAGCTGCTCTGTGGTCCCAGAGCAGGGAGCAAGCACCTGCTATGAGGGAACATTTGTGAAAGCTGAAAACTAAACCCTGAGCAGACCACGGATGATCTCCACAGGCTTTGCAGAGCAAGGATTTTGCAGTACAGAACTGCAGGCCATTTTGAAGCAGAGTCTGGGCTCATTTGCTGTGGGTTCAACAAAGCTCCTGCACCTGAGTGTGGGTGGTTGAGGGGTGCCAGGCTGGGGCTAGGCTGTGTGCCATGCTTCTCTGCAGCTTGGGCTGGACCAGCTGTCTGAAGGGCTGAGGTGGAGGTGAGGGTCCAGCAGTCTTGCGGTGCAGACATGGACCTGGACCTGGCTGGGTGAGTCCTGTGTTTTTTGTTTCTGTTGTTTTTTTTTTTCACTTGAGGACTTGCAGCCCCCCATGGGACTCACCTTAGTGAGATGGCCATAAGCGCCACTGGAACTGCTTTTGTTGTCACAATAATGATTTCTTTTCAGTTGATTTACATTTTAGTTAGCTATTTTTTTTTTTTTTTGGCTTTTGGGAAAAGTACCCAATTAATGCTATTCTGTTTTCAGGTGATATTAAAAGGTATGTAGGTTTGGGTATTTTTGTGCCCTTGGCTGAGGCAAGAGTGCTCCCTTTGAGCACTTCTGCAGGGTCAGCCATTTTTTGAAGGGTCTTGAAATTTTTTGGGAAACTATTGAGTAGCTTGCAAGCAAGTCCTATTTTTGCCCAGATCCCCCATGGCGTAAATGCGTGAACTGTCAGTGAATGTTGCCGTGGTCTCATGTTAAGCATATCCACTCCAGGAATTTGCTTTCCCATTAGTTTAACCCAAGGGATGCCAAGAGCAGGAGTAAGCAGAGCTGAACTGGCAGTGACTCAGCCGAGGTGGCTGCAGCTGCCTTGGGGAAACGAAGTGGAACTGGAGGCACCAATGTTGTGTGCCTGTAAATGATATTTGGGTGGACTTCACACAGAGTTAGTTAGTGCTCTGCATATATCAATGATCCCCCAAGTTTGGATAGAGATGAAAATCTGAATATTTTCTTGTAACACTTCAGCAGTCACCATGGTGAGTGCAGGGGGCACACAACACTGTATGGCCAGTTATTCCTAATTCAGAAAAAACAGACTTTTTGTGTTGTTGCTCTTTGCAAAGCGAGCATAAACCTTCAAGCACCAGGTGTTCGTCAGCTGTTACAAGTTTGGGGAGTGTTCTGGGGGTATTTTCAGATTATATTTAGAATGGTTGTCCAGTAACTTGGGCTTAGATAACTGGATAATTTTATATGTTGCCATCTCTCAGAAGCCAAAGACCATGCCTGCTCCCCTGTTCTCTGCAGTGGTACTCCAAAGGGTGAGAGGAGCAGGTCATTGCAGGTTAGCTCAGTCACCTGTGGTTCACCCTAAGAACACTCTGCAGGTACGGCCATGTGTGCTCTTGGTCTGGAAGTACCCCAGGTGCTGAGAGTCTGCACGTGACTTCAAGAGACTTGTTTTCCCCATGCAATGTGCACGTGGCAATCCTGTGATGTTTGCAAGTGCTCCACGCTGCTTCTGAGGGGGCAGTAAATCTGTGTGTCTGGCCGTTTCCCTTGAGGTACGTGCGTGGTGTACAGCTGTGGAAAAACAGGCTGCCCA